CTTCCCTTCCCTTCCCTTCCCTTCCCTTCCCTTCCCTTCCCTTCCCTTCCCTTCCCTTCCCTTCCCTTCCCAGCAGCTTTAATGAGATATAATTCACCTACCACACAGTTCACCTATTTAAAGCATATAGTTCATTTAAAGCATACAGTTCATTGGTTCATTTAAAGCATACAGTTCACATGCTGCATTACAATTTTAGGACATTTTCATCACTCAAAAACCCTGTACCTATTACCTATCCCCCTTCTTTTTTTAAATGTTTATTTATTTTGAGAGAGAGAGAGAGCCAGCATGAGATGAGGAGGGGCAGAGAGAGAGGGAGAGAGAAAATCCCAAGCAGGCTCCACGCCATCAGCACAGAGCCTGATGTGGGGCTCAAACTCATGAACTGTGAGATCATCATCTGAGCCAAAGTTAAGAGATGGATGCTTATCTGACTGAGCCACCCAGGTGCCCCCTCCCCTTTTTAAAGTTTTGAGAGAGAATTTTAAATTTTTGAGAGCGAGAATCCCAGGTAGACTCTGTGCTGCCAGCTCACAGCCAAATGTGGAGCTTGAACCCACAAACTGAGATCATGACTGGAGCTGAAACTAAGAGTCAGACACATTATTAACTGACTGAGCCACCCAGGTGCCCCTAGCTATCCCCCCTCTCAAAGCAGGCACTAAATCTACTTCCCACAGTGCTGTGGAACCGTCTAAGTCCGTAGTGCATGATTTACGACAGCTTTTCACCCTTGCTTCCTCTCTCTCTTTCACTGTTGTAAGACATTCTCATTGGGCCAATATTTGCTGAGAAGTCTCTTAAAAGTTCATTTGCATATCAGTACCAGGGCTCTATATTTAATAATTGACTTATATTCCTGGGAGTATTGAGTTAGCCTATAAAGGCCCTGGGTAACTTGACTTCAGAAATTACTCTTTTTACCACAAATGTTGGTGACTTTTAGAATCCACGAAAGAAATCTTACTGGCAGCTCAAAGAGAAATCCTCTGAAGTGGGGGGCATTCATGGTGGACTTTGTTACTTGTGTGTGTTTTAAAACTTTTTTTAAACGTTTATTTATTTTTGAGAGAGAGAGAGAGAGACAGTGTGAGCAGGGGAGGGTCAGAGAGAGAGGGAGACACAGAATCTGGAGAAGGCTCCAGGCTCTGAGCTACCAGCACAGAGCCCGACGTGGGGCTTGAACCCACGAATGGTGAGATCACAACCTGTGCCGAAGCCGGACGCTCAACCGACTGAGCCACCCAGCCACCTCAAAACCTTTTTATTTTGAACTAATTTCAAATTTATACAAGTATTGTAAGCAAAGTTTAGTTTAGTTTTTACTGAGATTTGCCAGCTAACATTGTATCACATTTGCCTACCCCACGTGTATATATACTGTATGTATAATTTTATTCTGAACCATTTGAGAGTAAGTTGCATACATGTTGTCTTGTTAGTGTAAAATACTTCAGTGTGTAAGGACGCTGGGTGGCTCAGTTGGTTAAGTGTGGACTTCAGCTCATGATCTCATGGTTTGTGACTTTGAGCCCTGCATAGGGCACTGACAGCACAGGAGCCCGTTTCCAATTCTCTGTCTCTTTTCTGCCCCATGTCCTGCTCATGTGTGCTCTGTCTCTCTCTCAAAAATAAACATTAGAAAAATAAAAATAAAATACTTCAGTGTGTGTTTCCTGAAAACATAGATGTATTTATAGTACACTTGTCAAAATCAGGAAATTCACATTATAATGATATCATTAAATTTCTATCTCCATCTGACATTGTAGAATGTCACTCATTGGGGTTTTTCTGATGTGCCTCATAATCAGATCAGATGATGCATTTTTGGCAGGAATATCACAGAAATGGCACTTGTTCTTCCCAGTGCATGAGGTCAGGAGGCATATGATGCCAGTTTAATCCATAACTGGTGGTGTTAACTTTTATCAATTGGTTAAGATAGTTATCTGTCAGACTTTCCACTGTGAAGTTCATGAGTATTAAAAAAATTTTTTTTGTTTATTTTTAATGTTCATTTTTGAGAAAGAGAGACACACACATACAGTGAGAGTGGGGGAGGGGCAGAGAGAGAGGGAGATGCAGAATCTGAAACAGGCTCCAGGCTCTGAGCTGTCAGCACAGAGCCCGATGTGGGGCTCGAACTCAAGAACTGCGAGACCATGACCTGAGCCGAAGTTGGACACATAACCGACTGAGCCACCCAGGCACCCCTGAATATTTTTTATTTGTTAATTAATTAGTAATTAATAAACACTTCATGGGGAGGTACTTTGAGTTGCTGTAAATACCCTGTACTTCCTGAGATGTTCACCCACTAGTTCTAGTGTCCTGTGACGGTTCTTGCCTGACCTATTCATGTGATAGTTACCAAATGGTGATTTCCTAACTCTGTTACTCCTGTATTTATTATGTATCATTCTTTGTGATTCTACTGCAAAGAGCTTTCCCTTTGTCCCCATGTAGTTTTTTTAAATGTTTATTTTTAAGAGAGAGACACACACGAAGTGTGAACAGGGGAGGGGTAGAGAGAGAGGGAGACACAGAATCTGAAACAGGCTCCAGGCTCTGAGCTGTCAGCACAGAGCCTGACGTGGGGCTCAAACCCATGGACCTTGAGATCATGACCTGAGTCGAAGTCGGATGCTCAACCAACTGAGCCACCCAGGTGCCCCTAAAACTTTTTAAAATATTTATTTATTTATTTTGAGAGAGAGAGAGAGCATGCGCTAGTGGGAGAGGGGCAGAGAGAGGGAAACAGAGAATCCCAAGCAGGCTCTGCACTGTCAGTGCAGAACCCAACACGGTTCAGTCTCACAAACTATGAGATCATGACCTGAGCCTAAATCAAGATTTGGACGTTTAACCTACTGAAGCACCCAGATGCCACATCATTTTAATGATTTTTAAGTGGCATTAAGCACATTCACATTGATGTACAATCACTGAGCACATCCATCTCCAGAACATTGTCATCTTCCCGGTTGAAACTCTGCACTTGCTAGCCACCAGCAATCCCGTTTCCTCCTCCGGTTCCTGACAGCCACTGTCCTATTTTCTGTCTCTTTGGACTTGACCACCCTACGTACATCATATAGAGGTAGAGTCTTACAGTATTTGTCCTTTTGTGACTGGTGTGTTTCACCTAGCATAATGTCTTCAAGGTTCATCTGTGTTGTAGCGTGTGGCAGAATTTCTAACTTTTTCAGGCTGAATAATACTCCATTGATGTATATAATCACATTTTGCTTATCCAGCCATTCATTGATAGGCCCTTGGGTTGCTTCAACCATTTGGCTGTTATGAGTAATGCTGCTATGAACATGTGTATACAAATCTCCCTCTGAGTCCCTGCTTCTAGTTCTTTTGGGTATGTACCCAGAAGTGGAATTTCTTTATCATATCGTTATTCTATACTTACCTTGTGGAAGAACCTTAATTAGTTAAAAGAATTAATATCCATATGGACTCTTAGTTTTCTTATTTTATTCAATGGTCTGTTCTCTTTTAGTATCATTTTTATTTCAAAAAAATTTTTAATGTTTATTTTTGAGAGACAGACAGACAGAACAAAGCATGAGGGAGAGAGGGAGACACAGAATCTGAAGCAGATTCCAGTTTCTGAGCCGTCAGCACAGAGCCCAACGTGGGGCTGGAACTCACAAACTACGAGATGGTAACCGGAGTCGAAGTAGGACTCTCAGCTGACCGAGCCCCCCCAGGCGTCTCTCATTTTTAAAATTTTGAGGTACGAATTGTCTAATTTGGCAGGTAGGAGTCCCTTTAAGCTGGCTCTTGTATCCTTTTGACACATCCTCATTGGAGCTGGATTCTGTGACACAGGAAGGCGTTCCAAGCTCATCTTTAGGGCCCCAGACCTGGGATCAGCTTTTCCCGCAAGGAATCCACTTCCTTTTGTTGGAGGACAGTGTTTAGAAACCATGATAAGCGTGCTGGTTATGCTGATGGCTACTGGGGTGTCATTGCTTCCGGGCCCTTTGAGGAGAAGGAGCTAGGAAAATATGTATGCATGACACGGATGCACATATACCTACATAGAAACCTCCATCTGTATTTCCATATCTACTTCTACATGGACGTTAAAAACTAGAGTTTATATTGCCTCCGATTCTAATCTAACACCAGAATTTATTTGGACTTTCTCCCTTTGCGAATGAGAAGCCTGGCTCTCATTATCCTCAATATGTTTATTCATTAGTTTCTTTACTTGTTTAATTCTTCTCCACGCGTTCAATCTCTTGGACTGTCTTTTTGGGCTTTGGGCTTGGCTTAATACCTAGACCCCCAACCCCAGTCCCACTGACCGTGCCCCCAGCCCCGCCCATTGGGCTAGCAGGATGCTAGGCTCCTGCCAAGAGGAAGTCAAGGAGGGGGCGTGACCAAGGAGAAGGGGGGAAGAGGAAGGAAGGTCTTGTTTTGTATTTTTTTAAAGATTTAAAAAAAATTTTTTTTTAATGTTTTATTTATTTCTAGGAGAGAGAGAGAGACAGCGTGAGCAGGGGAGGGTCAGAGAGAGAGGGAGTCACAGACTCAGAAACAGGCTCCAGGCTCTGAGCTGGCAGTCAGCACAGAGCCCGACGCGGGGCTCGAACCCACGAACCGCGAGATCATGACCTAAGCGAAAGTCGGACGCTTAACCGACTAAGCCACCCAGGCGCCCCTAAAGATTTTTTTAAACTTTATTTATTGGGGGGTGGGAGAAAGGCAGAGAGAGCGGGAGGGGAGAATCCCAAACAGTCTCTCCCTGTCAGCGCGGAGCCCAGCGCGGGGGCTCGATCTCACAAACTACGAGATCATGACTTGAGCGGAAATCAAGAGTCGGACGCTCAACCGACTGAGCCACCCGGGCGCCCTTGGCTTTGTACTCTTATTCGTTGCTCTCGCCCTCGGCGTTTCTGCTGTGACCGGGTGGGAAGCAGTGCTGACAGAGTCTTTTGGTTTTCATGGCTCTGTCCATTTTTCTCTCACTCAAGATGGTTTCACCCAAACATCACTGGCGTGGAGGCAGAAAACCTGCTGTTGACAAGAGGGGTTGATGGCAGCTTTCTGGCGAGGCCCAGTAAAAGTAACCCCGGAGACTTCACCCTTTCTGTCAGGTAAGTGGGAGGAAGAGGAGAACCCCGAGAGGGCTTTTCAGGTAAGAAATGTGAAGACCACGCCAGGACCACTTGCTACCCTCATTGCCGGCCCCTGGTGAGGCCTGGCCCGCCGGTCAGGTGCGACTGGAGCCTGCTCTCGGGCCTCAGGCGAGGCCTCCTGAGAATGCGCGCGCAGGCATGCAGCAGAAGGGGCGTCATGGGGGGCCTTTCTTCTCCCCTGAGAGACCCCCACGGGTGAGGCGAGCAGAGCATCACCACCACCAGCGTGTGAGCCTCGTGCCGCACATCCTGAACCCGGTTGCCTGCGTCTTCCCTCTTCCTTCTGTTGCTTTCTTAGTGGGAAAAATGCTTTTGAAGAGTTTTCTTCAGATCACTTTTCTTTTTCAAGAAATAAAATATCACTGAGGAAGTTGTGGCCCCGTGTGTTCCCCTGCCCAGTGCCATCCCCTCCCTCTTTCCCCAGAGGAAACCGCCATCGAGAGGTTGGCATAGATCCTTCCTGAATGTGTTTTTATACTTGCACTGTCTTGCTGCTGTTGTGAACAATATAAAGTTGGTTTGTGTGTTTTTAGAATCCGCATACACAGGCCTTAGAATGTATCTCTTATTCCGCAACTTCTTTTTTAAGCTTTTTGAGGTCTGTGCTGGTACATAGAGATCTAATTCTTAATTTTAATTTTAATGGCTACATTCAAATGATGTAAACCTACCACAGTTTATCTAGTCCTCTCTTGTGAGACATGGAGTTGTTTTTGTTTAAGATGTTTTGGAACAATATGGTCAACACATTTTACTTATTTGAAAATAGTAATAATAAAAGCAAAATGAGAAGGCAGGAGAGTTATAGCTCCTGGAATCATCTAGAGTAAGGGGAATAAGTCTATAAGAGAAAGTCAGTTTCTAGAAAAACTGTCCCGCCTGCTCAAAGAGACCTGTAATAGGATGTTGGCCATACTGTTCAAAACAATGTAAAACAAACGGAAAATCCACAGTAGAGGCTTGGATGAACTGTGGTGGGTGTATTTAGGATCCCTTTGGGACTTGGGAAATCTCTCTTTGGCCCAGACCAGTTTTGGGGGAGCCCCCGTCCTTAGCTTTTACTTGTGTTTTAATATAAGGAGTGGGTCTTCGTGAGTCCCCAGGGCCTGAATCACCACGGCCCTCTAACTTCAGCCTTGCGTCATATTTGAGCTGGAAGAGTTTGGTTGGAGAGTAGATGATGATGATGATGATGGCGATAGCAGACATGATTGAGGACCTGACATATGTACCGGGCCCTGCACACACATCATTGTATTTAATTTTCCCGACAACCTATGAATAAGCACCACAGTTCTCTTTATTTTACAGGTGAGTAGCTGGAGACCCAGAGGCCGCTAGTAACCTAGGCTCGCAGGTGCTCAGCGGCAGAACTGGGACTAGAGAACTGGTGGGATTTTTTTTTTCCTTGCCCCTCAGCTCTTTATTTTGGAAATTTTCTGGCTTCTAGAAATGTTGAAAGATGAATATAGTGGGTACCCACATTCTTGTCACCTGCCAGCATGTTGGCATGTGTGCCTTTTCTTTTATTTTTTAATGTTTATTTATTTTTGAGAGAGACAGAGTGTGAGCAGGGGAGGGACATAGAGAGATGGGGACAGAGTCCAGAGCAGGCTCCAGACTCTGAGCTGTCAGCACAGAGCCCAATGCGGGGCTCGAACCCACGAACTGCGAGATCATGACCTGAGCCGAAGTCAGACGCTTAAATGACTGAGTCACCCAGGCGCCCCTCTTTTATTTTACTTTAAAATTTTTAAAAAGATTGTAATTTTAAGTAATCTCTGTACCCAATGTGGGGCTCGAACTTACAGCCCTGAGATGAAGAGTTGCTCACTCCACCGACTGAGCTAGCCAGGCGCCTCTGTTTTCACCTTTATTTTATTTTATTATTAAGTTTATTTATTTTGAGAAAGAGAGAGGGAGTGTGATCAGGGGAGGGCCAGAGAGAAAGAGAGAGAATCCTACCAGGCTCAAAGTGCAGGGATGCAGGGTGTGATGCAGGGCTTGAGCCCATGAACCACAAGATGATGACCTGAGCCAAAATCAAGAGTCAGACCCTCAGGTCTTGATATCAGGGTCATGGATTTGGGCCGGTGTTGGCTCCACGCTGGGCAAGAGGCCTACTTGGGAAAGACAAACAGAAAAACGAGTGTGTCTGTCTGATACACAGGAGCACCCTCCTGTATAACTACAGAATCATGTGTCGGGGGCGCCTGGGTGGCTCAGTCAGTTACATGTCTGTGGCTCACGTCATGATCTCACGGTTTGTGAGCTAGAGCCCCCCCTCGGGCTCTGTGTTCTCAGTCCCTCAGATCCTCTGCCCTCTTCTCTCTCTGCTGCTGCTCCGCGTGTACAGGCTCTCTCTCTCAAAAATAAACATTAAAAAAAAAGAAACTCAGTATCTTAAAAGTAATCGTTATTATAAGTAATACATTTTAACCTTGCTTCAGTAATATTATCTAATATGTCATTCATATTCAGATCTCCCTTGTTATTTCAGTAATGGCTTTTGAAGTAATTGAAAGTGTCTGTCACATCCTGTGCCCCGCCCGCCACCCCACACTAGATTCAGGAAGATCTACTTAAGGACCATTCATTGCATTCAGATTTTATGTTTCTGGTCTCTGTCTCCTGACCTTTTCTTTTTTTCTCTCCCTTCGGGCTTTTTGGCCGGTCAGGCCGGTCATTTGTAGCTTGTCCTTCAATCTCAATTTGCTGATCGTTTCCTCATTTTTAAATTCAGATGACACATCTTTGGCAAGTGCACCACAGAGGCGGTGTTAGGCCCTCCCTGTTATCTCACGGCGGGAAGCACATGGGGCCTGCCCGGTCCATTTTTCAAGGCTGTTCAGTGTTATTTTTTTTTGTTATTTTGAGAGCTGCAAGAGAGCAGGAGGGTGGGTGCAGAGAGAGAGGGAGAGAGAGAGAGAGAGTCCCAATCAGGATGCAGGACTTGAACTCACAAACCATGAGATAATGACCAGTGCTGAAATCAAGAGTACGATGCGTGGCTCACTGAGCTGCCCAGGCACCCCTTGGGGGTGTTCAATTTAAACACTTGATTCAGGTGTTTGCCAGATTTTCCCATTGTAAAGATGCCTTTTTCTTTTTGTGTTTAATAAGTGGTCTGTGATATGGTAGAGTCTTTCTTTCTTTTTTTTTTTTTAAAGATTTTTAAAAATTGTTTATTTTGAGAGAGAGGAAGAGAATGCAAGCAGGGGAGGGCCAGAGAAGAGGGAATGAGAGAATCCCAGGCAGACTCAGCACTGACAGTGGGGTTCAAACCCATGAAGCATGAGATCATGACCTGAGCCGATATCAAGAGTTGGACGCTTAGCTGACTGAGCCACCCAGGCGCCACAAAGATTTTATTTTTAAGTAATCTCTATACCCAGTATGGGACTCAAACTCACAACCTGAACCCAAGAGTTACATGCTCTCCCAGCTGAGCCAGCCAGGTGCCCTCTGGCTTCTTTCTCTTAATGTAGTATTTTTGAGATTCATCCATGTTATTATATCAGTGTTGTTTTGTTTTTAATTGCTGTGTTCTGTTGTATGAGTATACAACTATTTGTTTATCCATTGTGGTGATAAATATTTGAGTTTCCAATATTTTTGTATTCCAAATAAGGCTACAGTGAACATTCTTATACAAGTCATACAGTTTCATTTGGGGGGGAGCAAAGTACTTATGAATAGATTTACTGGATTATAAGATAGATGCAATTGAACTTAAGTATATGTGTCTCGATTAATGATGAGGAAAATTACTGTCACTTAATATATGTGTCTCGATTAATTAATGATGAGGAAAATTACTGTCACTTAATATATGCAATTTGACAGGCCAGTCTTTCAAAGATTTTATTTTTAAGTAATTTCTGCATCCAACGGGGGACCCAACCTCCCAACCCTGAGATCAAGAGCCGCACACTCCGCCGACCGACAGAGCCAGCCAGGCGCCCCCGATAGGTCAGACTTTCAAAATCGAAGTTGTACAAGGGAAAGGAAGCAATAAACAGAGCTGTTTGTGTTGACGTGGTTGACTGTGTGGTTATTTCCCTCACTGCATTTGTCACAGGAGTGTAAACTGATTTCTTGGGTGTGTTTCCGTGTTTAGGTGAAATCTGCTATTGAATGATGAGATCCATTTTTACCAGTATAGCTCTTTCTTAGTTTCTGTTTGTCCCCTGATGGACTATTTTAGAAGAAATGGAGCTGTCACCCACATCAAGATTCAGAACACCGGTGACTACTATGACTTGTATGGAGGGGAGAAGTTTGCCACTTTGGCTGAGCTGGTCCAGTATTACATGGAACACCACGGGCAGTTAAAGGAGAAGAATGGAGATGTTATTGAGCTCAAATATCCTCTGAACTGTGCAGATCCTACCTCTGAAAGGTCAGTGACTTTTAGCCACCGCAGAGTCCGTGCGTCTCTCCCATGCCGTAGGTGTTCTCCGAATGCATTATGGGGCCTCGGCTTGCTGTGTCTCACGCTGTAACCTTTTTAACCAAAGTTTTACTGAGTAAGAGCATCAGATGATTTTCAGAGCACCCTTTTCTTGTAACAGTGTCCGTCAGCGTTCCTTACGCTTAACTCTGCAGGGGTCTCAGGTTCTTCCTGTATATCCTTGGTACATGCAGTAATTTTAAGATTATTGAACTTGAGCCGATAATCTTTGAGTGTTAGGAGAGAAAAGCAAATGATTCTGGAGATGCCCAAACAGCAACAGTTCTCGGAGTGGCACCCAGCCGTTCAGCAGGGCCACCAACAGATGTCAGTTACACTTAGAAGCCGAAAAGCAGCTTTTTCATCAGTTCTTTTATGTTGTGTCCACAAATGTGGGGAATGATCTTGCTTAGAGGGAATTCTATTATTTCAGAGATCTTCTCCCCTCCCGCCCCCCCATTCCCGCCCCCACCTTGTATTGGAACTAAGTTGATGAAAGCCAGGGCTGGACTTATTTTTATTGATTTTATTGGTTTTCTACATCCCCAGTCTCCTCTCTGGCTCAGTACAAATCCAGGGTCTCTTGATTTGGTTTGTATTTTGTATCTTCAGGTCAGTTTCTTCAACTTGCACCTCTCTGTCAGTGTTATTATATGCCGATAATTTGTTTTTCCAGCCACCACCATAGCTTCATGCAAAAGGCTGTCCACCAACTGAGTTTATTTCTACATTTTACTCTGTTCAGTTGAGGGTGGATGAAAAATAACTCAAAGTATATTCCCCTAGTGATGAGCCATTAGCACTATCTGCCATGAGAGTGCTTGCTTTCTGACCAAGATCCTGAGGGGAAAAGCCACTTTATTAATATGACTGTGTTCAGATTTTTAAGTTTGCTTGTTTGTTTAAAAAAAATTTTTTTTTAAATGTTTTATTTATTTCTAGGAGAGAGAGAGAGACAGCGTGAGCAGGGGAGGGTCAGAGAGAGAGGGAGTCACAGACTACAACAGGCTCCAGGCTCTGAGCTGGCAGTCAGCACAGAGCCCGATGCGGGGCTCGAACCCACGAACCGCGAGATCATGACCTAAGCGAAAGTCAGACGCTTAACCGACTAAGCCACCCAGGCGCCCCTGCTTGTTTTTTTTTTTTGTTTGTTTAAATAGTTTCTACACCTGACATGGGGCTTGAACTCACAACCCTGAGATCAAGAGTCACACGCTCTTCTGAGTAAGCCATCCAGGCGCCCCATTAACATTTAAAAAAAATTTTTTTTAAGTTTCATTTATTTCTGAGAGAGAGAGAGAGACAGCATGAGAAGGGAGAGAGGGGAAGATACAGAATCTGAAACAGGCTCCAGGCTCTGAGCTAGCTGTCAGCACAGAGCCCGGCCTAACCCACGAACCGTGAGATCATGCCCTGGAAGTCGGACGCTTAACCGACTGAGCCACCCAGGTGCCCCAGTGGAAATCCTTTTTAATGTAATATTCACGTGCCAAAGCAAGGGCAGACATTCAAATGATTTTCTGTCTCTATCATGACTTTCTAGTTTAATTTCTTTAAATGGTTGTGTTTAAATAGTTGGTCCTTTTAGGGTAGGGCATGGAGAAATGGCTAAATGCATTTTTAAAAGCTGGGAGGTTGAAAAGAAAATAGGAAAGATTGAGGACATTTGTTTCAAAATGACTGTGGGCTCATTTAAAAAGTTCAATAGTTATTCTTAACATCTTTGCCATTTTTCCTTTCTGCTTGGGCTGCAAATCCTTCTTGTGCAGGATTGACCAATCTCTTAGAGGAATGTGCCTGTTTTTTAATTGTTTAGGAGCTCGTTATGTGTGGTAGTTTTGTGAAAGAATGCTTTAAACTCGTGGCAGAACTCAGTTGATTTTCATTTAAAAAAATTTAGGTGGTTTCACGGACACCTGTCTGGGAAAGAAGCAGAGAAATTATTAACGGAAAAAGGAAAACATGGTAGCTTTCTGGTACGAGAGAGCCAGAGCCACCCCGGAGATTTTGTTCTCTCTGTCCGAACTGGTGATGACAAAGGAGAGAGCAACGATGGCAAGTCTAAAGTGACCCACGTCATGATCCGCTGTCAGGTAAAGCCGCACTTGAACTACGGGTCTGGCAAAATGTCGTCTTTGGGTGGTTCTTCTGCTGGAAGGAGGCAGACATCACTTCCGATGGCAGATTTTCTTTGCTCATTTAGCTACAGGCTCATGTGCTTTTAGAACGTTATTTATTACAATTGTTTCATCATTTTAGGACTTTTTTATTTATTTCCAGTCTGTCTCTGACAGATTAAATCCTGCCTCAGTGCATCACCTCTGCCCTGTGCTGTTGAACCTGTTTCTGCTTGACTGTGGCTGGAGTGGGCCTCCCTCTCCATGTTTCTAATGTGACGGCCTCGACTCCTCCTCAGGATTGTCACTGTCTGGCCTGTGACGCATTTGCCTCTGTGTTGCAGAGTTCCTGCATTAAGGCTCGGAGAACTGACCTTACTATTTCTTGTTTTTAATGTGGTGACGGGACTGAGGTTGATTCTTGGTCAACTATGTCAAACTTTGTTTTGTTTCTTAAATAGAAGCTATTCACTTACTGTTTCAGTTTTAAAATTACATAAATATTTTAGGGGCGCCTGAGTGGCTCAGTCGGTTAAGCGTCTGACCTCGACTCAGGTCATGATCTCACGGCTTGTGGGTTCGAGCCCTGCGTCAGGCTCTGTGCTGACAGCCAGCTCAGGGCCTGGAGACTGTTTCAGATACTGTATCTCCCTCTCTCTCTGACCCTCCCCTGCTCACGCTGTCTCTCTCTCTCTCTCAGAAATAAATAAAACATTTAAAAAAAATGAAGAGTCTCTTTTAAAAAATTACATAAATATTTTTAAAAAAACAGCTAATTATTGAGGTACAACTCACATACCATATAATTCATCCTTTTAAAGCAGACAGTTTAGTGGTTTTTGGTATGTTCACATACGATACAGCCACCAACACTAATTCCAGAACATGTTCATCACCCCAGAAAGAAACCCTGTGTCCATTCCCAGTCACTCCCCGTGATTTCCCCTCCCTCTGGCTCTTGGCAGCCTCTGATCTACTTTTCATTTTTATGGATTCGCCTGTTTTAGATGTTTCGTATAGATGGAATTATATAACGTGGTTTTTGTGTCTGGGTTACTTTGCATAATGTCTTCAGGGCTTACCCATATTGTAGTGTGTGTCCATAAACTCTATTGTCAACCATTCCATTGTGTGGCTAGAGTAGATTCTGTCTATCCATTAAAAATGGATGGGCATTTTGGCTATTATGAATAATGCTGCTGTAAACATTTGTGTACAGAGCTTTATGATATTCTCTGATGAGACGACATCCTCCCATTTTAATTTATAAAGTACCGTTTCCTTTAGTTCTTTGAGCATATGTATACTAGCTGATTTCAAGTGTTTATGTGGGCTTTCTGAAGGACAGTTTCTGTTATTAAGTGCATACCCCCCACGTTTGGTCCATACTTTCCCGTTTCTTTGCATGTTTCATAATTTTTTGTTGGCAACTCGACATTTTAAGTAATACAACGTGCTGACTCTGGAAATCAGATGCCGTCTTTTCCAGGGTTTGCTGTCGCTGTTTTTTTTTATTGCTACTGTAGTTGTTACTCTTTCTGTGTCTCGTGATTTTCCTATATTCTTTGCTACGCTTAGTCACTGAAGTCGTTGCTTGGTTAGCTGAGTGGTCAGCTAATGATTAGACAGACATCTCCTTAAATGCCTTGAATCATTAAGTCTCCTAGACTTTGGCAGGGGGCTCTGTGTGTGTGTCGGGGTGTGTTGGGGCACACGTTCAGTGCTCCAGCAGATTACAGCTCTGCCTTAGCCTTCACCTTCTGTTTGTGCACAGCCTCAAGGTCAACTAGAGGGTTTTCTTGGACTTCACACACAGACTTCTTCCCTGGACTTCACATAGCCCTGCTCAGTCACATAGCCTTTTGGATTCTCAAGAGTATGTTAGGGGTGTTTTTTCTTTTTTAACTTTTGATTTAAACTTGAGTGAGTTTACATACAACATAATATTAGTTTCAGCTATATGGTATAGTGATTCAACACTTCATGTAACACCCATTGCTCATCACAACAGGTGCACTCCTTAATCCCCATCACCTGTTTCACCTGTCTCCCCACCCACCTCCCTTCAGGCAACCATCAGTTTGTTCTCTATAGTTAAGAGTTTGTTTCTTGATTTGCCTCTCTATGTTACTGGTTTTCCAAGCCCTGTGTGGATAACACGTAGAATTTTCCTTTTTCCGTTTTGGTCAGTCTCTTATCTGTTTTAACGGGTATTGTTACCTCAGGCTGCTGGGGTACTAAACAGTTGCTGCTGATTGTTTTTGGCAGATCCCCTGAAGACAGGGCTGAGTGAACTCTAGGTCAGGCCAAATAAACATACGCTCTGAAAGCAGGGCTTTTCAGAGAGCTGCTAACCAGGCCCAATACAGGTATATCTCCAAGATGTTATGGGTTCAGTTCCAGACCACTGCAGTAAAGTGAATATTTGCAACAAAGCAAGTCAAATGCATTTTTTGGGTTTCTCAGTGCATATGAAAGTTATGTTCGTACTGTACTGTAGTTTATTAAGTGTGCAGTAGCAATATGTCTAGAAACCAACAGAAAACATACATTTTTTTGACAGTGTACCTTAATTAAAAAATACTTTATTTGCTAAAAATGCTAAGCATCGTCTGAGCTTTGAGCAGGTCATAATCACTGATCACAGATCACCATAACACGTATAGTAATAATGAAAAAGTTGAAATACTGGAAGAATTACCAAGATGGGACACAGAGACACAAGGTGAGCAAATAGTGTTGGAAAAATGGTGCCAGTAGATTTGCTCCATGCAGGGTTGCCACAAACCTTTAATTTGTTAAAAAAAAAAAAAAAAAAAAAAAGTGTCTGCAAAGCACACTGAAGTGAAGTGCAATGAAACAAGGTTTGCCCGTAGGGATTATTGTCTGGGGTGGGTTTCTGGAGAGAGTTCAAATTCATTCTGTCCCCTCTAGGTATGCTGTGTTGCTGGCTCTCACAGCTACTGTGATTATAAGGCTGTTGTTTTCAAGGCTACAGAAGAGCTAGAGAGAGATGCACGGGGATACAGGGCAAGTTAAACTGCCACAGTTTGCTCCTTACCAAGATTCAATCCTTTTTCTTGAATAAACGTTCCTTGGACCGGTGCAGGTTCTTGGTGAATTTTCAGAGTTCTGAAAAAAATTGATGACAGTTTTTACCAGTACTTTTGTTGCTTTTATGGAAGAATGGATTTCCAGAGGTCCGTTCTTTGTTATTCTGAAAATGCTTCTCCCCCGCTCCCAACGCTGCAATTTTATTTTTAAATAAAAGATGGCGCCCAAACATCTTCACAGTAATTTCTAGCGTTTTGTATTTTCTGATTTTAATGTTTTCCTGTTGTTTCCCTGAAGTCGCCTATTCCGATCTTTTGGTCAGAGAAAATTTCCTGGTCTCTTTATAATTTCCCTTCTAAATTTTCATTAGAAGAGGAAAATAGAGACATGTGTGTTGGGCTTCAGTGCTGCCTACCCAGCCTTGGAGATCGTTGCATTTCAGAGAGAAATTGTTATTTACCTTCTCTTGAGCAAGCAGCCTGCCGTATGGCTGCTGAGCCTAGAGTGTAAGTAAATAGCAAATAATGCTGTGTTTCATTTCTTTAAACTACTTAGTTAACTTATGAAGGGGAAACTGTTTTGTGCCCCGGTAGCTGAGGGATACGTACTTAGACCTCACACCTCAGTGGTGAGCTCTTTCACGTCGGGCCTGCCTTTCCATTTCCACCATCCTTTCTCTCCTTTGTACCACCGCAGCCATTTGATCTTTGGGGGAGAGTTAGTCTCTGTACTTCCGCTGGGAAAAAATAGTAATTTAAGGTAAAAGTAATAGGATTTTTTTTTTTTTTTTTGCCTTGAAAGGAACTGAAATACGATGTTGGTGGAGGAGAACGCTTTGACTCTTTGACAGATCTCGTGGAGCATTACAAGAAGAATCCCATGGTGGAAACATTGGGCACAGTACTACAACTCAAGCAGGTGAGGACGTTAGAAAGCTGAAGCTGCATCTCCCTACAGAGTTTTTAAAAAATCCTGACATAGAATCTTCTAAATAGACAGAAGTAGAATAGTATCATGAGCCCCCACACACCCATCACCCAGCTTCAATTGTGATCAACTTACCAAATCTTGTTTCATTATTACTGCACTCAACTGCTCTCCCCTTGTGGTGTTTGGAAACAAATTTATTACATCATTGCCATGATCATCTCCATGTGTATCTCTAAAAGGCCTTATAGAGTTTTTAAAGCAGCTTTTACCAAGTGTTCATTCTAGGCCTTCCTTTGGTTACCTTTGGGTGATTACACTTCCTCACTTTGGAGTCAGTGCTACTTCAGAGTTCACCCTTACTACCTAGTGGCAAATGATATCATCTCCCCAAATCATGTTGGCATCCGTTGATGAAGAAAAATAGGTTTGCATTCATATCAGCAGAGCGAAGTGTGTGTGTGGAGCTTGAAGAAAGATCTATTTCCTGACAAAACAGAAAAGAAAGCGAAACTGTATTTGAAAACTTTTATTATGAATTACCATGTCCTTTTGACAAATTTCCTGACCTTGCCTTACAAATATCAACATGGAACTCTTTCTTTCTTTTTTTTTTTTGCATTAACACTTTTTTTTTTTATAATACTTTATTCATTTCACACCAACTGCTGAATTCGATTAGCCCCTCAACACAACACGCATCAATGCTGCTGAAATAGAAAGCCGGGTTCGAGAACTAAGCAAATTAGCTGAGACCACAGATAAAGTCAAACAAGGCTTTTGGGAAGAATTTGAGGTAAGTTATTAAAAAAAATTTTTTTTTTACTTGAGTTATTAAATTCTATTTTTAATGAGAGAGAAGTTGGCCCTGTCTTTGGAATTGGATCTGAAAGACTCAAATCTGTGTTCTTTCTTAATTCAGCCATTGATTGACACGGAACAAGTTGCTGAGGGGGCTCCTCTGAAATAGAAGGGCATTGTGTTCTGGAAGAAGGGAGTTGGCAGTTAATATTAAATGGATGAGCCAATAGCTCCATTTGGCTCTTTTGGTTTGGACTGCTGGCAAAAAGCCAGAAAAGCAAAAGGATCTAATTCCTTTGGAAGATTGCCAGCATTGGCCGGCTTCTTTAGAGAGAATCTGTAGCCTTATTGCAGGGGAATAAGTGAAAGTGAAATCCCTCATGGTGGTTTTAATTTGGGAGTTGACATTTATAACTTTGGGAAGTTAAGTGAACTGATTTCTTTCCTGAAACGAACTTGGGTAGGAGAGTGTCCCCAGAGGGAATGTGCTATGTTCCTGTCTTACTCTGGTATGTCACTTACCAATTCACGTTGTGATCACATCCTCTCTCTTCTCTTCCGTTTGACTGAAAACTTCCTCAAAAGCAAGGATCATACCGTACTTACCTTCATAGTTATCCCTAGCATGTGGCGGTGCTTAGTACACAGTAGAAACTCCATAAATATTTGTTGAATCAGTACTTACATTTAGCTAATGTTCATGTCACCTTATTACTATTCTGTTTATGGGCATGATGGGCCACTCCATACATTTTTGTCGGACTTGAGAATTGATAAATGTGGAACAAATGAATAAGTGGCCACAAGAAGTCCTTTAAACCACACGTCATATCAGCTTGTTGAGATAGACTTTATTTCCATTTTACAGAGGAGGAGGCTGAGGCCTGGGGAGGTTAAGTAAACTGTCCAGCGCTATACCACAAATACCGATACACCAGTACACCACAGCAGTGAGGTTGGGTGCAGAGAACAGTCACAGTCCTCGCTTCAAATTGCTGAACACGAACTTGAACTCAGCTTTATTTTTTCATAGCAGGCATTGGGCTAATTGCCCAGGACACTATGGCGAACAAGATGGACAGCGTTTCTGCCTTTAAGGAGCTTCTAGTTGAGGGGCACCTGGGTGGTTCAGTCGGTTGAGCCTCTGACTTCGGCTCAGGTCACGATCTTGTCGTTTGTGAGTTCGAGCCCCACATCGGGCTGGCTGCTGTTGGCGCAGAGCCTGTTTCTAATCTTCTGTTCCCCTTTCTCTCTGCCCCTCCCCCACTTGTGCTCTCTCAAAAATAAATAAAAATAGTAAAAAATAAAAGAAACTTGAGGGAGGAAAGTCAGCGCTGAAGGGTATCACGAAGAAAGAACATAATGAGTCAGATTTTAAAAATGTTTTTAATGTTTATCTTTGAGGGAATGAGGGACAGAGAGCAGCAGGAAAGGGGCAGAGACAGAGGGAGACAGAATTTGAAACAGGCTCCAGGCTCTGAGCTGTCCACGTAGAGCCTCACACGGGGCTTGTACTCACGAACTGTGAGATTATGATCTGAGCTGAAGTCAGATGCTTAACCGACTGAGCCATCCAGATGCTCCCAGAATTTTTTTAAATGTTTATTTTTTTTGAGAGAGGGAACACAAGTGGGGACAGGGCAGAGAGAGAGAGAAAGATTGGGAAACAGAGAATCCAAAGTGGGCTTTAGGCTCCAAGATGTCAGCACAGAGCCTGATGTAGGGCTTGAACTCACAAACTGTGAGATCATGACTTGAGTGCAAGTCGGACACTTAACCAACTGAGCCACCCAGGCATCCCAATCAGTCAGGATTTTTAAATCTCAAGCCCACTGCTTTCTTCACTGTGTCCCACCAGTGGCAAAAAAAAAAAGGGGCAGCATTTCTATTCATTTAATTACATTCACTTGTTTTCATTCATTTCATGTAGTCTTTATAAAGCCTCATGAGATAGGATGGATGAGTACAGAATTGGAATGGAAAATCTATTTTTCAAAACTTTTTATTATGCAAAATTTCAAATCTATCCAAAAGCAGAGAGAAGAGTATAATCACTGCGATATGTCTACCATCCAGCATTAACAGTTATTGATATGTGGCCAGACTTTAAAAAAAATTTTTTTTTAATGTTTTATTTATTTCTGAGAGAGAGAGACAGCGTGAGCAGGGCAGGGTCAGAAAGAGAAGGAGACACAGAATCTGAAACAGGCTCTAGGCTCTGAGCCCATGGGGCTTGAACCCACGAATCGTGAGATCATGACCTAAAGTTGGACCCTTAACCGACTGGACCACGCAGGCTCCCCCAGACTTTTTTTTTTTTTTAAGTTGGCTGCATGCCCAGTGTGGAGCCCAACATGGGGCTTGAATTCATGACCCTGAGACTAAGACCTGAGCTGAGATCAAGAGTCAGACACCTAACTGACTGAGCCACCCAGGTGCCCCATGGCCAGTCTTTTTTAACTCCTCCCCCCTGACTCCCCCTGCCTTGGCTTATCTTCAAGCAAATTCCGAGTGTTTTTTCATCTATAACTATTTCATTTCAAAAGATCATAACCAGGATATCATTCTCAACTCGAAATTATTAACAATAATTCCTTAACATTATGGATATCATTGACTGCTCAGATTTTCCTGACTGCGATGCATACACATGTGCACACACATGTAGTTTGTTTGAATTGAGAAGTGCTTTTTCCTACTTGATTAAGAAAAAAGGTTGAGGGGCGCCCAGCTGTCTCAGTCAGAAGAACATGTGACTCTTGATCTCTGGGTTGTGAGTTTGAACCCCACACTGGGTGTAGAGATTATTTAAATAAATAAAACTTAAAAAATTTTTGAATGTACTATATAAAATAGATGTGTATAAAGAACCCCCATGTGTCATTATCAACTTTGCCAATGATCCCTGATACCGTGTTATTTTATTCATAAATGCTTTAGTATCTGGGCTTTTAAAAATTTACATTTTAATTATTGTACAGTGCAATATTGGTTTCAGCTGTAGAATTTAGTGATTTATCACTTAAATACAACACACCCACTACTCATCACAAGTGCCCTTCTTAGTACCCATCACCCATCTAGCCCATCTCCTGCCCACCTCCCTCCATCAACCCTCAGTTTGTTCTTATCATTAAGTCTCTTGTGGTTTGTTTTCCCTCTCCGCTCCCCCCATATATTCATCGGTTTTGTTACTTAAATTCCACATATGAGTGAAATCATGATACCTATCTTTCTCTGATGGTCTTATTTCACTTAGCTTTTTTTTTTTTTTTTTTTTTTATTTCTAGGAGAGAGAGACAGCGTGAACAGGGGAGGGTCAGAGAGAGAGGGAGTCACAGACTGAAACAGGCTCCAGGCTCCGAGCTGGCAGTCAGCACAGAGCCCGACGCGGGGCTCGAACCCACAAACCGCGAGATCATGACCTAAGCGAAAGTCGGAAAGTCAGACGCTTAACCGACTAAGCCACCCAGGCGCCCCTTATTTCACTTAGCTTAATACACTCTAGTTCCATCCATGTTGTTGCAGATGGCAAGATTTCATTCTTTTTCTTTTTGATGGCTGAGTAATATTCCTGTGTGTGTGTGTGTGTGTGTGTGTGTGTGTGTGTTTATACCTACATATACACACACATATACCACATCTTCTTTATCCATCAGTCGATGGACATTTGGGCTCTCTCCATAGTTTGGCTCTTGTTGATAGCACTGCTATAAACATTAGGATACACGTACCCCTTTGAATTTGTATTTTGTATTTTTGTGTCCTTTGGGTAAATACCTCATGGTGCAATTGCAGATTGTAGGGTAGTTCTATGGAATTTTTTTTTCTTTAAATCTTAGACCCTTTAAGAAGGTTTAAGGGTTTTTAAACAGTTTTTAATTAGAGAGAGAAAGAGTGCATGTGCAAGAGGGGGAGAGAGCGAGAGAGAGAGAAAAAGAGAGGGAGGAGAGAGAGAATGTTAAGCAGACTCCAGGCTCAGCACTGAGCCCAGCGTGGGGCTCTAACCCATATATCGTGAGATCATGACCTGAGCCAAAACCAACAGTTGGACGCTCAACCAACAGAGCCACCCAAGCGTCCTGAAAGTGAGCTGTTTTTTAATCTAGATCCAAGTTCATCTCACACTATATTTTATTTATTTATTTATTTATTTATTTATTATTTATTTATAATAAATGGGGAGAGAGAGAATCTCAAGCAGACTCCGTGCTCAGCACAGAGCCTGATGTGGGGCTCGATCCCACAACCCTGGGATCATGACATGAGCCAAAATCAAGAGTCAGACACTCAACTGACTGAGCCACCCAGGCGCCCCATTATACATTCTTTTAAAATGGTAGCTGAGGGGTGCCTGAGCGGCTTAGTCGGTTAAGCGTCCGACTTTCGCTTAGGTCATGATCTCGCGGTTCGTGGGTTCGAGCCCTGCGTCGGGCTCTGTGCTGACTGCCGGCTCGGAGCCTGAAGCCTGTTTCGGTCTGTGACTCCCTCTCTCTCTGACCCTCCCCTGCTCACGCTGTCTCTCTCTCTCTCTCTCCTAGAAATAAATAGAACATAAAAAAAAAATTAAAAAAATAAATAAATAAAATGGTAGCTGAGGCAATCATTCGTACATACCACTTTTCCTTTACAGTGACTATGAACTTGAAAACAAGTGACAGCAGTGAGGTGGGTGTCTGCTGCAACGGTGGATTATTGAACACCAACTTCATTTAGGCAGTGCTTAGGGAAACAGACCTTCCCAGAGAGCTTGTGGCAGCAGGGGTGTTTCTCATGGTCCTGTTGGTGGGGTTAAGATGTGAAGTTAAAAATAGTTCCTAGCCTGACTTTTCTGGCCTTGGAAAAAGAAGGTTGCTTCTAAATGCTGACCTGATGGTTTCACTGGGACATCTCAAATTCAGGTCAGCTTTTATACATTATTAACAGCAAAGTGGGGGTGGCGGATTGAACTGGCTTTTGGGAGAAATGGAAAAAAGAAGATCATGTCTGTTCTCC